CATAGTGTGTAGGTTCCCCAAACCCTGGCCTCCCCTCCTCCATGGCCACTCCTCCTCCCTTCCCCCTCACACAGGTGCTTCCTCTGCCTTCCCCACAGCCACTGATCCTTCTCCCTCCCCAATCCCCAAGCGCCCGCTCTTCCATCCATCCTCCACATCTGCACATCACACATGACATTCACAAACATGCATACATCCACATCGACAAATCACACCCATAACATTCACACACACACATTCATTTACACATGTATGAGTCACACACACATTCACACACATCCAGATACACAAGTCACATTCACGCACATGCCCATACATCAACACCCACATGCAACATTCACACACACATCCAAACATGCACAATAGCCACGCACATGTTCACACGTGCACACGCACGTCACACACACATCCACTCATGCACATCAGCAACACAAAGAAAATGTTCACACATGCACCTTCACACACAAACGTCACATATAGCATTCACACATGCACAGCAGTCACACACATTCACAACATCCACATACATGCAGTTTATTACACATCTGCACATCACACAAATCAATATTCACACGTGCACACACATTCATACACATCACGTACATTCACACATAAACATTCGCACATTCACACACACTAGATTCCCACTCACATACAACACTCACACTTCCCTCCACATTCCCATACACACATTTGCACACACATTCCCAATGACACACACCCTCATACACACTCCCACACCGACACACGTCCTCGCACACATTTGCACACTCACACCATACATGGACACACATTTCCATGCTCACATGCATTCGCACACACTGACACACATCCTCACACACACACTCGCACACTCAGGGGCTTCCTGGCTGCAGCTGTGTCCGAGGTCACTGCTCATGTTGCTCAGTGCTGACTTGAGGGGTGCCCACCTCCAGTTCCCTAGATCCAGCCCTGTCCTGCCGCAGCCCCCACTACCCTCCCACTGTCCCGGGACCTCTCATCTGCCCCGGCCCATCCCACCCAAGGCCTCACCCCAACTCCGGCTGCCGTTCCCCAGGCAGAGTCACCCTAAGACCTCCCAGCTCAGCCCCTCCCCACTGCACCCCCACGCCCCTCCCCAAGTTTCCCACCCTCCCGATGGCTGGTCCCCTTCCACCCGCTGCCTGTTCCTTGGCTCCCTTTTCCTGGAGACTCTTCAATGTTTTCTACATTCTGTCTCCAAATTATTCTCCTGTTCTGTCGTCCTTAAAAAACCTCAAAAACCCAACCTATGGAAAAGTCAAAAAGAGTAATTCATTGAACACCCTGTCTACATTTTCCAGTATTTATCACTGGCTGCTTAGAGCTCATCATTCAAAACATTCCAGCAGTACTCACACGGTGGCCTGCAGAACCCCAGGGTCCCCAGGGCCCCATTTCAGGGAGTCTCTAAGATCAAAATGATCTCATTACCAAGATGTGATTTGTCTTCTTCAGTGTTGACATCTGCACTGAGGGTTCAAAAGAAACGCTGGGTAAAGCTACTAGCACCTTGCCAAGAACTGTCCTGGCCTGGTCACCTTTACATTCTTCATTGCTGTGCGGTCAAAAAAAGGAAAAAAGCCAATTTCACTTCAGAATGTCCTCAATGCAGGAAAAATGAGTCAATTTTGACAGCACATGTTCTGTGTGATGTAAAGGATTTGGTGTGTACAGCTGTCTCCAGGAAAAGCATGTCTCTGGCTGATTGTGTGAAAAGTATCCAGTCGCTTTTTCAGAAACGTCATTTTCATTTGAAATGATTGACAAGCTACGTGATTAAGCCTTGTGTGTCTGGCAGATGTGATTTTAAAAAAAACCAGGTGGGTGCAGTGGCTCAAGCCTGTAATCCCAGCACTTTAGGAGGCCAAGGTGGGATGATTGTTTGAGACAGCCTGGGTAAAATAGTAAGACCCCCAACTGAAAAAAAAAAAAAATTAGCCGGGCATGGTGGTGCATGACTGTAATCCCAGCTGCCTGTGAGGCTGAGTCAAGAGGATCCCTTGAGCCCAAGTGGTCAAGGTGGCAAGGAGTCAAAATCGGACCACTGCACTCCAGCTTGTGTGACAGAGTGAGATCCTGTCTCCATTTAAAAAAATTTAAAAATTACCAAGTGAGCCTTCTACGTCAAGGAAAACTGACTGTATTTTCTGTCCAATGATAAAACTTGAGTTTTTCAGCAGCCATCAGAATGTTGTAAAACTTGCATCCAGTACCACAAGCTTGACAACTTCCAACTTATGACTTTCATGAGATTTTTGATCAATATTTTAATATTAATGAAAAGTTTCAACATTTAAAAGATTTGCAGAACTCAGTTAAAAGGTATTTCCCAAGTAACTAATGCATAAAGTTGCAAAATCATGCATGGGTTAAAGGTCCATTCTAAGTAAAGATAGATGAACTCTACTAACTGAATACAAGAAGCTCATTGATATGGATCCTGATTCAACATTGCAACAGGCCTTAAGAAACTACTGTTACCGGATGTTACTACTGTCTTGACAGTGTGTCGTCCAGGTTCCTGGGGCAGTTGAACAAAGAATTGAACAAAACACACAAAGCAACAAAAGAATGAAACAACAAAAGATGCATCAAAAGTGCAGATTTACTGTAGCAAAAGTACACTCCACAGAGTGGGAGTCAACTTGGGCCAGGCTACAGTCCCCACCTTTAGGGTTTTTGGTGAGCTAAAAGAATTTGGTAACACCTCTAGGTGCCCTTTAGAGGCCTCCAATGGGCTGCACCCTATAAAAGATTAGCCTGCGACCAATCAGAGGCTGGAGACTGTCTTGTTAACACAGGAAGGAGGCTGTGGCCTGAGTGCTGCCTAATCTTGCCCAGAACTGGCTGCACCTGCTGTTCTTTTGCTTCTGCCTTACCCCTTGGTTACCCTAGCTTCCTATTCTCCTGCCCCACAACCACTACAGAGTTGGGTGGTGGTGTCAGGTACCCACAATTAACTGCAAAGATGATTCAAATATCCCCTTTTCCAATTACCTATCTGTGTAAGGCCAGATTTTCTCCACATACTTCAACCAAAAATGTATTTAGGTAGTCTGAGTAATGTTTTATAGTTTTCAGTGTAGACATGTTGAACATCTTTTGTTAAGATATTTTCTGGCTGGGCGCAGTGGCTCTCGCCTGTAATCCAAGCACTTTGGAGGCCACGGCAGGCGGATCACCTGAGTTCGGGAGTTCAAGACCAGCCTGACCAACATGGTGAAACTCCATCTTAAAAAAAATAAAATAAAATAAAAAAGATATTTTCCTAGGTATTCCATGGTTTGGGTGTCACTGTAAATGGGCTTTATTTCATTTTCCAATTGTTTCTACTAGTACAAAAGAATCCATGCAGGGAAAGGGTCTTCAGGCCAAAAAGGCCAAGACTCAGTGAGCTAGTCTTTCAGTATAAATGTCAATTCTAGTGAACACAGAAAAACCTAAGCTTATTCTCGATGTTAAAATGACATATATGTGTGTGTATGTATACATACATACACACACACACACATATATATATATATATACATATATTATATATTTTTTTTTTTTTTGAGATGGAGTCTTGCTCTGTCCCCAGGCTGGAGTGCAATGGTGCAATCTCGGCTCACTGAAACCTCCACCTCCCGAGTTCAAGCAATTCTTCTGCCTCAGCCTCCTGAGTGCTGGGACTACAGGCGCATGCCATCACACCTGGCTAATTTTTGTATTTTAGTAGAGACGGGGTTTCACCATGTTGGCCAGGATGGTCTCGATCTCCTGACCTTATGATCTGTCTGCCTCAGCCTCCCACAGTGCTGGGATTATAGGCGTGAGCCACTGCGCCTGGCTGACAACTGTATTTTTTAATTAATACAGCATTTTTTCTTCAAGTCCTAAAACAAAACTTGTCTCAAAGAAATGCAAAATAGACAAACTAATGCACCTCCACGTATCCACCACCAGCTCGCACCAACTGCGTTTGATCCTTGTCTCCACTCATCAGGGAACCTGGGCCCACTCACATTTTTTTATTTTGATGCAAATTCCAGGCATGGTATTAATTCCATCATCACAATTTCCTTATGTACCTCTAAATAAGAGCTGAATATACTGGTGTTAAATGACTCTAAACTAGAATATGTCAAACTGCTTCCATCATCCACCGAAGCACAGATACTGCCCTACTGCAGGTTCTATGCAATATTTTTGTTGCTAAGCAGTCACATTCTGTCCAAAAATTTAAGACTAATCAAAAGTATGTTTAGTGTGTTTTCAGAGATTCACTTAACATTTTTCAGCAAATATTAACTCACTATAGAGTATCTGGAATATCTTATGAAACAGCCCAAACAGGATGCCATCAAGTTCCATGTCTTAAAACCTCAGCAGTGTGGGTGGCTTCTTGGATCAGTCTGAGGCCAAATCTCAGTTCTAAGCTTGATTACTACTGTCTGCCATACCATGGGGGGCAGAGGCCTGGGCAGCACTATGCTTTCTCTTCCTGTTCTCAGTGTAATTTTTGCAAAACTTCCAAAGCTTAATGCTCCCTCATCATGGTCTATTAAATTTTTACAAGAACATGCAAGAATATTGAATGTTTTAAACAACATATGTAGGCATGCCAGAATGGCTATTTTGGTGCTATTTGAAACTGCAATTTTCTTAAAAGGCCTAATTAACATTTGCTAAAACCAAAGACGTTTACAACATTATAGTTGCTGTCTTTTGTGAAAATAAGCACTCAGGCACAATACTGAACCAGCATGCAACTGATCCTTCCTCCACAGAGATTCAGTACTGACAGTGCCTTAAAACTAGAGTAGAAACTCAAAAGTGGAAAAAACACCATATGAAGAGTGTCAGAAGAGTCAAGTAAAATCTTATAAGCAAAATGAAAACACAACAGTAAACTTCTCCTCCCTTCCCATTCCTTCCACAGATATCCACCACCGCCCCCTGCTGACCCCCAAACCCCAAGAGAAACCCCAGGGACAAACTGAGTGTGAGTTTTTTATTCCATTTGTGAAGGACAGTTTTAAAATGTTATTAACACTCTTAAAACACTGTTTTGTTCTTTTGACATTTTCTCTATCTGCACCAATTTTTATTACAAAAATCAAAAAAGTAAAAATTCATTACAATGTTTGCACAGTATAACCACTAGTTGCCTAGACAAAAGCTAATTTCTACAAAATCAAAAACTTAATGCAGTTTTATTAAGAGAGTCAAAATTCTCTCAGTTAACTGGATATATATAGTGGTATATATCTTAAAGCAGAAAACCCCAGAAAACAAAAACAAGGAAAAAAGAAAATATATGTCAAAAGTCAGTTAAATATTTTGACCTGACAATTCCTACAAATAGTAACTTCCACTACATATAAAGGAATCTGTTCTGTGTGGTAAAAGTTCCAGAACCAAGCAGGAGATGTGGAATAAAACAATAAATCAGAACGCAGCCCCAGGTGGGGCCTGTCTTCCATGAAGCCCAAGGCAGTGATCTCCATCATTAAAGGAGGGTCCACTGTGTCTACAACTAAAACCTTCCACCACATGGTGATCTGAGAAGCTTAATTCAAAAGGACAAACGTTCTCTTCTCCACACAAATCACTGCAGAAATCTTTGTTAGGCTGCACCTTGCATAGGAAATAGCTGTGTTCTGCCAAACTCTACAGAAAACAGTAGAAGCAAGTTTTTTAAAATGATGCCCATGTACAAAGAGATAAATTACCAGGCACCTCATTTACCGCTCCAATTTATCTTGATCATATAATTTAATCTTTTAACAAAAGGAAAAGCAGCAATATCTGGTGACAGTATTAAAAAGACAATGTTGAGATTGGCATCAGAAAAACTCCAAAAGTGCATCTTATAAAAAGGACGCCTCCCTGTAGAAACAGCTATGCACTCAGTAAGCCCTACTCATGCACAAGCACTCGCTGGGAACTTGTCAAAGTTTACTTTGTCAGAAAGTTGAAGTATAAAAAAAACAGTACAAATTGTGACATTCGTTCAAGTTGCTACTACATCAGGATTCTGAGCAGGCTGCCAGGAAGGACTCCTGCGTTTCCGAGCGCCCCGGCAGCACTTCTAGGAGCCGTGGTACAGGTGCATGGTGCCCAGCACGGCGCTGTCGTACCGCTCCTGCACCTTCACGGAATTGGAATGCTCGACCACACTGTTCAGCTCTGGGAGGCTTTCAGCAGTGTCCCCAAACCCGTGGTAGTGTCCATAGTACAGGTTATCCCCAATGTCTTCTACCCAGGAAGGCCTACTGGCTACGCAGCTACTCGGACTCCCATTCAGGTGCAGAGAACCACACAACTCAGGGTTAGCTCTCACGGTCTCCTCCGGCTCCTCATTCCCACTAATGTAGACAGAACCCTGGCTACGCAGAAACGGCTGTCCTGGGGCTAATCCACTGCTAATTCCGTTAGCTTCTGTCAAGCACTGGCCACTCCTGCTTTCCATCCCACTGAGCGGGGTCGTGGAGGGGAAGTCCAAATGTCCATTGATGACACATCCATTTGTCAATGTATTCGATACGGAGCTACTGTTTTTCACATCTGCATTAAGAAATACACCTGTCACCAAAATTCAGAACCAATGGGGCAGGAGAAACTATAAAATGCTTCATTGCCATTATAATTTTAAAGAACTTATTTAGTTTCTTTTGCTTTTTTCCTTTTAAACCAGTTCTTTTTTCAAAGTAAAATCAATGTGCATAGGTAGACTTAAAATTAAAATGTTAACAGTACTGTTTGCCTGGTAAGAGAAACCTGTATGCATGCCAGCAGCATCAGGTAGCTAAACTGAAAAATGGAAGCTGACAAAGATACTGTATGAAAAATACCAACACAGTCCCGAAAAGATATCAAAAAAGTGCTCTCATTTTAATACTTTCGAGAGCAGTTTTTAAAAAATCGCCCCTAAAAAGGTCCATCAGAACTGAATGGAAAGTGGAAGGGTTCCAATAGAACACAAACTTCTCTAGTTCTCAAGCAAAAGGGGGAAAAAAGGTAAATCAAGTGGTGAATTAAGGAAGTTCTTTGAACTAGATATGACAGCATCATATAAGGTTTTTAAAAACTCTCTCCTCATAAATCACCTGACCCTCCCCTGAGTCTCAAATCAGGACTGTTAAAAGGAACCACTTTTTTTTCTTCAGTAGCACAGAAATCTACCTAGTACTTCTGTAAAACGCCAGGAGAGCACTGGCAGAACAGAGAAAGCGGCGACTACAGGCAGGAACTCTAGCTGCCAACAGTCCTCACGCACGCAGCCTGGGCCAACAGCACAACACGGAGTCGCTTCTTCTCAGTCCAGCAATTAAAATGACCATGGCAGCCAGGGTTTCATTTATTAGGTTACTTTCAAAAACCATCTCTGCTGGAAAAAATGTTGATAGTTTAATCTGCATATACAGACATCCATTGGGAGGGAGATGTCTTACGGGACAAAAAGTCCATTACGGAACATCTGGGCACACCAGGACAGGCAATGACAAGTTATTCTTCTGTATACTGCAACTTGAGAAGCAGCAATATTCATATTCACAGGAATTCACATAACAGTATAAGAGATGATCTAAAATTACCTCTTGCTAGACTAGTTTTTATCTCAGTGTTCTTCACTACCAAAGCAAAGCATGATATGAAATGTAGAAGAGCTCAGTTCTAATAACTTTTAGAATAAGGACGCAGTTGAAATACATCTGATTACCCTAACGTGTCACACACCATGTGACTCTTCCCATGGAGGCCTCCCCTTCCATCTCACCTCCTGGATGCCTCCAACAGAGGTTTCTGTTATGCCCTGCAAGTCTTCCTGCCAAGGAAAGATCGGGGCTTGTTCAGTGAATGAAAACATTATCTAAATATTCCATTCATTGTCAATTTCTTGGATATTTAAGCAACATAGTTTAATAATTGCTATAAGTTCTTCAAAGGACAATAGATTTATTTTTCCAAATTAAATGATAGCTTTTCTATTTGGCTAAAATCTAAGATTAGAAAATAAGTCTTTCAATGACTAAACAGAAAATAAAAACAGAAATACAACAAGCTGCTCCCAGCTGCTGGCCAAAACCCACTTTCCTTGTCACCAGCTGCCTGGCCAGCCCTCGGAACCCACCGACATCCAAACGCCATGCTGGGGATGAGGTTTCGGGCAAGATCCTACCTCCCTTCCAGCCAACTCCATAGAGAAGATCAGGGTTTAGAAGCAGGCGCCTTCCTGCCTGAGTCCTTTCCGGGGGTAGGGACACTTGATCCTCCCGGGTCTCAAACTAGGGGCATTTAAAATACAAAGATGTCTGTACACAGTTGTTCGAAAATGTAAAATTCTTGAAAATAATTTTGGCAGAACAAAACTCCGAGTTACTCAGAAGTGTTTAAAGGAGAGCAGCCTGACTTTCGGTCTGATTCTCAAAGGACTGTGGAGGCAGCTCCCTCAAGCTTCCAGTGGACGTGGAGTGCCATGTCCCACAAGGAAAACCTCATGTAATCTCTAGTGACTTAACACATTGTTTATTGGTCAGAGTGTCGTAAATCAAATGATAGGAAACACAGGGTGTATGTACTTGACATCTGGTATACGGGATGGGCTGAGTTTTTTAAAAGTATGTTCCAGCTTGGATCAAGTTTAACAAGGAACTAATGTCTGAGGAATAAAGGTTGGCCACTTCTGCCTACTCAAAAGCAGGGAGCAAGGTCATTTTCAAAAAACAAAGGATTTGAGTTTTGTTATGGATCTTTAGCTAAGGTCAAATAGCCCCTGACTACAGAAAATCTATTATTTTAAATATGCTAACTGATCAGAATTTCCCTACTGAGAAAAAGGTGACCCCAGCAATCCTGTAGCTTCTAGAAAGATGAACATTTTCTTTTGAGTGATTTTTTCATGTGGGTTTGGGAAACAAAATACATACTCTTTTTCTTTTTTTCATACCCAGTGAAAAATTTTGCATAAAGACATAATAAACTTAAAAAAAAATTTATTTCTAAATATATTAACATGTTAAGAAAATGGCAAAAAATGTTTTTTCAGTCACCTAAATAAAAGAACATCAGAAAAAAGCAATAGCTAAATGGACAAATCATTTTAGTTATTCTAAATGCTATAAGAACTGAGCTGCTTCTATCTTTTAAAAGTTGGAAACAGGAATACTGTTTGAATACACTAAAAACATTAATGTAGAGAATGTGTGTTGTGAAACACAGTGTTTACCATGTTAACAGACTCAGAATGAAGGCCACAGAAACCAAAGCAACCAAGTCCTGGGTAACGGATTCCATGCTGGCGTGACCGGGCTGAGTCTGAACCACACTGCCTAGTTCTCAACGTTTACTGCTAGTCGTCCTCTTTGCAGTATATTGCTTTGAAAATATTAACCATAGCATGTTCGGTATATTCACCCAAAGGCCGTATGTCAGAAAATTAAAAATGCAAACCTCATTAAAAATAAGCAAGGCACATTAAGCAACAGCTTCAAATCAGAATAGAAAGATTGCACTTACATTTTCCATGTCCATAGAATATACCCAAAACACTAATCCTTATATCTACAAACTTAACCAAGATATGTAAATTATAGTATAACATTTTTTAAAAAGACACTGAACAACAAAGTGCAAAACGTCTGAGAGAAACTTATGTTAGAAATAATATGCATACTGATTCTTGCAACGACAGGGGGTCTGCATTGCTGACACAGTATATATTTCTATTTCTTTTGGTCCAACAGAACCACTCTCCTGCTGTTTGGTGTCTTCGACCATTGGATTGTTGTTGCAGCTAACAGGAAACTGTCCACTCCCACCTGTTACAACAGCAAACTCCCTATCAACGTGCATTTTGTCAGCATCGTCTTCTGTGTCGCCATTCATGAGTGGTACGGCAGAATCCAAGCTTGGAGCTGTACAGAAAACAAAGACTATTTCAGATTCCTTTGTAACAAGATAGCTGTTCAGTCACACAGTTTACATTCCTTTGTGTAAGCACTGAACAGTCTAAAACAGTCACATTAAAAAAAAAAAATCAACAGGTCACAATGAGCTTAGCAAATGACTGAAAAACTTCCACAATAAAAAAAATTTCCTGACATATACAGAGTTTAAAGTCATGGAATTTCAGATACCTATTATAGATTTACTTGATGGCAAAAATTATAATTTTTTGGCCACTGAGAGGACATAAAGTGGTTACATAACCTGGAAACAATTCTAAACTCTATTTTCAAATTCAGCATGTTTTTCGAAAAAAAAAAATATTAAGACAATTTTAAATCAACAACATACAATTAAAACAATTCTGATTTTTTTTTTTTAAATTCACTATTTCCGGGACTCCATGTTTGGATCCCCTTCCACGAACACTCTCGTGGAAGCCCTCTTTCTCTCTCATGGATTTTCCCTCTGGGGTCCGCTTCCACACTCTCGCGGAGGCCTGTCCTCCCCTCCTAAATTCCATCTCTCTCTCTATTCCCTTCCAGTGTGGAAGCTGCTTTTCTCTCCCAGATTCCATCTTTCTGGATTCTCTTACTCAGTGTGAGAGTTAGGTGTTTCTTTCTCTCTCCTTCTCCTGTTTCTTTCTCTCTCTAAATGAATCACTTTCTACAAGCAAACAAAAATTTCACTATTTCCATTAACAAAAAATAAGGTAAATGCTGAGACTCAAGACTAATCCGTCAGCACTGTCCCAGAGTGACATTTGACCTGAGCACCAAATTATGTAAAATTATCACATCAAAATACAGAAAACATTAGAAATGGGAAGCTAAAACTACCCAGCCACTTCACTTACAAGATTACCCTTCTGTGTACTGCGATGTGAACGGCCCATGTCATACACACGCCACACAAGCACCTCCACCTCCGATTCCTAGCAAGACTCACTTCTTATAAGCAGCCCCACCTGTCTGAACGGCTTCTAACAATCACTGTTACACTTTGCTTTATTCATTTGCTGTGGCATGTCACATCGGTTAATGTAGAAACAAGTTTTACTCTGTCATACGGCTGTTACAATTCACCTAACCAAATTCCCTGCAGCTGTCTGTGCCACTTCAGTTTTCTTTCCTATCATGAATGTCACAATTAACAAAAATACATCTTTGTGAGTATTTCTGGTTAACTCAGATACTTCGAATTATTTCTGGGCCAAAGAATACACACCACAAATAACAACTTCCAGTGCTAAATACCTCTTTCATAGAAACATTTAAAAATAGGGAGAATGGAACTTTGCAGCTTGAATTAGCTCTAATTTTGGAGGCACATGAGTCACTTTTGATTCTACTGTATATACTAGTTCTGGATTATTCTACAAAGATGCTAATGTACAGAATGAGAAACCTGATTTCTAAATTAGTATGTGGGAGAGAAACAGAACAGTGTGATTTGTGTAGTTTGGTGGGGGTAGGGGGGTACTCAGAAGTCTGAACAGGTAGGATGCCAAAAGCATTCTTCAAATACAGGTCCTTTAAAACCAGAGGCATTAAACGGTGGATTTTAGTCTTATCTATTTAAAGCTTTAAAAAATCTTCCACAGGCCAGGCTCCACTTTTCCTATGACTCAGGCATACACTTTTAAGAAATCAGTGGTAAGCAGGGCATCTTTTGGAGGAAAAAAAAAAAAAAAGGGTGGGGAGTGGTTGGTGGAAGAACAGATCCCCACAGCGTGCTGGGTGAGAGTCCTCCCAACTCCAGGAGCCCTTCACGGCATGCAGACACCGGGAAGCTGCAGTCAAGAGCAGGTCAGTGTTCGCTCCTCCCACAGGCTGCCATCCTGCAAAGCCAACCATGAACATGGTCTGTACAAAAAGATGGACTTTTATGGGAATACAATCCAGACAGCTTAAAATACCTACACACTCAATTGGCATTCAGATGCCAATGTTACCTGGATAAAGCAGCAACTGGAGGTTACTTGCAATTTCACACCTCTGACAAGGTTAGAAAACCCCAACAGAGAAGAGCTTCACAAAAGGTGGGGTATTTGTCTTCTCGTTCACTAGGCCCAGTGCCTAGACTAGTTCTATCAACAGACGAACCCCACTCACTAGCCCGAAGAAATAAAAACACAAGGTAAACAAAAACAAATGATCCGTACCTCGTCTAGCCTGTAACACAACGTGAGGAATCACAACCATCCATGCAGGCCTGGCAATGCGAGGTGCAGGGACGCGGGCCCTGAGGGCGGAGGCACCACTAGGGGGCTGGAAGAGCCATGGCAAGGGCAGCCCAGGAAGAGGAAGTGGGCAAAGCACTATCTCCCAGCAGCAATTAATCCTGTTAACTAGAAGCCTCGCAGTGACCAGGGGCCTCTCAGAAACTGCTCCATTTAGGAAATACATCTTTTGTTAATGCAGATAATTTCTCTAAGAAAGCAAGGTCACAATGAAAGGCTTCTTTCCATATTTTACCAATCAAGATTCTATTGTGGGAATCATGACATCAGACATCCTAGAATTACATTCCCTCTATAGTGTAGTTCCCACAACCAGCTGTTCCAGAGCCTTGGGTAATGAATGCTGTTTTATCTAAGTGCCTTCTTCATTTCTTCATTCCTAGTAGCTGTAAGTTCTCAATGGGCCAGTGGAGACATTAAGCCTACAATTATTTCTCTCTTTAAATTATGTTTCAAGCCATGAAATTAAAATTGGCCTCTCAAAATTTTAAGAACGTTGGATTTGGAACTGTTTCCTCCCACACACCTGTTGCCACTGCTGAAGAAATCATTTAAATGCTACACCTTGCATTTGAGAAAGGTGGCCTGTACAGACATTTCAGAAAAACAAAATGTCTCCCAAGGTCGTCAGTTTTTACTGTTTGTGAAAGGAAGCACTATCTTTTCCTATCTTCCTATTGACTCTTAAAACAATGATTGAATGCTTCTGCAAATGTCAGTATGACCACTTTTTACAAAGGGTCCTTACCTACTGACTGTAAAAACAGGTGTCTGTTGGGAAGACAGGCTTCTAGTATACCTAAGACACAACGTTCAGGGTGGAAAACTACCTAGCTCAAAACCTCCAACCTCCCTGCTCAGAGATACAGCCACACCCAGGTGTGGTCACTGCCTGCCCTCCTAAGCGAGAACTAGCCAACAGAGCACGGCTGACTGAGAAACCTGCATTCCTGCCCCTGGGGGACACAGGGAGATGCTCCACTTTGGGCTGACACTCAGGGCAACTGAGCGGTCTGCATTTGTATTTTCATCTGAAATTTGGGGGTTGCACAAAGCCCCTAAAGGCAGTTCCCAGTAACTCTGTAACTATATGAGCTATTCAGAATCAAACTGCTTGGAACCATAAAAAAAAAAATCTTAGTTTCAAGAAAGTCTGCAGCGTTACAGAAGTAATGCAACTGGACACCACGTTCGTGCCACGACGAAGGCTTGCGGAGTGCTGACCAGGTGGGAGTTAAGACACGCTGGTGTACAGGTATACTGAAGCACAGGAAAACAGGACTTTAATTCCCAGGCACACCTGCAGATACATCTAGGGCTTAGGAAAAATGCCTGATCACAACTTTAATCTTCACAGCTTAAAAAAAAAAGCACTCTAAACAGTCATGTATTTTAAGATAAGGGCGCTCTTATGAGTTAACAGGACATTACTGCCAAGACCTGAGCCATACTGGTTATATTCCCGAAGACTAAATAAAGCAGGAGACATTTTACAAGTCAAAAACTGTCAAGTAGTTTCACACAATACATGTAAGTGAAGCTTGGGATCATGATCTACATTAGTAATCTACCTTTTACTGTGCCTCTGGGTGCTGTAAGGGTACCAGGTGCTGATCCAGGGCCCTCCAGCCTGTGGCCTTTTCACGGAACTGAGTGTATCCTGCTGTTGCTTAAACTGGGGAAGCCTCAATATCCTCTCATTAAAGAAGACGCTCTGCCTTTGTAATTTCCCACCAGCCATTACCTACAACTGTTCTTTGTTCTGCTGTAGAGCACATTTTACTCAACTTTTTTCTAATAAAGGTCCTGTTAAAACCACATTTTTTTTTTTTTTTTTTGTATTACAAGGCGATCTTTCGTGGGACCCGTCAGGGCCCACATTCCAGCAGAGCAGAGGGTTGGGATGACTCCAGGTAGCATGAAGCAACAAAGGACGGAGGACAGTGAGCCCTGTGGAAAGACCAGGGGTTTGGCTCCAAGAATACACAAGTGGCTTGTGATTAAGTGTGCCAGTCCTGGTTTTGCGTCCCACTGCAGTGTCCACAACTGTGCTGAAGACAAATCAGGCCAATGAGGCTTGCTCAACGTAGGACTTTCAGTGGAAAATGCAGACATTGCCTGGACTGTTAAGTGTAATTCAGACTGTATTTCAAGATGTTTCATCTTTAGGGACATCACAGCTCTAGAGATCAAGAAAAAACAATTGCCTCTTATTTGAGCACAACTAGGTAGGTGTGATCTGTCATTCTGGCCAAATTTTTATAAACAAATATACTGGAAATCTGAAAAGACTAAGGACCTCAGCAGTTAAAGTGCTATAATATATAGCTAAACTAGAAGGAACTAAATCACAAATTCACTCCTGGGAGGCATTTTATTTTCTGACTCTCAAGTGTCAAGCAACTAACATCTATCATTTAACAAACCTGTTGGCCATCTCTGCCCTCCTTTACCAAGTCTTTAAGCCTGCCTAACACAAACAGTTAAGGACAGAAGGCAAGAGATATGTTATCTATGTTAAATCCACTCGGGGGAAAGTGTTAAAACTTTCCACCAGTAATTTTACCTTTAAAGCATCATGTTGTAGATATTTGTTTCTATAAGGTGTTTTAATATTCAATACCATCAGAGCATGAATGAGATTCTAAGAGCAATAATATGCCTATGTGATGAAAACGGAGCTGTGTAACACTTGAGGTCTGCCGTCACTCCAGCCTACTTATGGGGCAATTGTCCCAATTATGAAATTGAAGTTATTAGGTCAGTGTTTAAAC